TCCTCTCCCTTCTCCCCCCCAAGGAGAGATCTGGGCACTCCTTGGTGAAGAATCTTCCTCTGGCCTCCCTAAAGCTGGCTGGGCAGTCCTGTCTTTGCCCCTCTGCCCTCTGTTGACATGATCCAGGTCCCATCTGGGACTGGTTTGCCCAACTCGGGAGCAGAGGCCTGGTGACTGACCCTAGCGGGGCCTTCGTTTCCGTCCACTAGAACTGTGGAAACTATGGGACAGGGCCCCGTGTTTGTGTTCGCAGATCACAGGAACAAACTCTGCCTGGGAGGGCGGGAGAGAACCTCTCCTGCTTCCTGAGGGGGGTGGGAGAAGGCTGCAGGGGAAGCCCAGAGGAAGAGCTCCCAACTGCAGTGCTGTCCTCCATTCCTGCTGCTGGCTGTGGAGTGGGGTGGAGGGCATGGCCCCACAGCCTCTGCACCTCCGGGCTGCCCCCAGTTCACCAGGTCGGAGCTGGACCTGGGATTTAGGGCCACAGCTCTAGAGCCAGGAGTGTGCCCTGCTAGTTTTGAACCTTTGGCTCTCCAGGTGTCACTCTAGAGCAGTCTTCAGACTGCGGGTTTTAGTCGGCCTCAGGATTGTTTATCCAGAGTGCAAGCCCCCTCCACCAGGGTAGGGTGGGAAAGTTGTGGGTGAGCTTGAAGACTTCTAATGGGAGTCCCTGGATGAAACGGGAAACAGATGAGATTCTCACCCACTGCTCAGTATAAGAGAGGGAGTCACCCTCACCATTTTGTTTCATGCTCAGCCCATAAAGTGGACTTGGAAGACCTCAGAGGAGATGCTGGGGTGGGGCATCGGTCAGTCACAGCTTCTGCCTCCAGACCTGGAAGCTTCTCTGTGCTGCCTGGGGACCTGTGGCTCTAGCCACACCCCCCGCCCCCAGTCCTGGAGCTAAGGCTGAGGTGTCTTCTTGAGGCCTAGAATTTCGGTTTATCTAAACTGAAAAGGAGAGAGCTTTCAGGTAGGGAAGAGCGGAGGGCTCTGGGGTCCCGGTGGGCAGGCGTCCTCTCCAGAAGGAAAGCTGGTAGAGATACAAACCCAGGTAACTCGAGTGTCCCCCACACTTCTGGGGTTTCCATCAGGCACTTGTGAAGTCTGTGTGCCAAGCTCAAGGTATCCCTTCAGCAGCTTCCATGGACTCTGTTCCCTACCCCAAACTCAAGAAAATGGTGGTTGCCGTGCTGGGAAGCATGAGAGAGAAGGCAAGGAGTAGAGAGAAAATAGAGGATTAACACTGAGAATGGAAGAGAAAGGGCAGAGGGAGGCTGAGTGGGCCGGGGACTGGGAGAGGGGCGAGGAGGCAGGGCCGGCTCGCCTCTGCTGCAGGCCGGAGCTCTTTTCACATTGTGCTACTGTCTGCACCTACCACTAGCAGTGCAATGTTAAAAGGGCATTGGCTGTGTAGCGCTACCAGCGCCGGCTGCCTCCTCAGCGTCAAGATATCCTCTCCCATCTGGGCGCCAATCAGCTACCCTGGGGGGCATGGGGAAGCCTCCCTATAAGAGTCAGACGAATAGCTCACATTGATGGAAGCACTTCCGCGTGCAGTCTGTGCTGTTTCGCGGTTTCCCATTTCACAGGTAGAAAAACTGAGCCAGAAGATTTCAGCAGCATGGCCCAAGTTACATAGCTCTTAAACTGCAGAGCCTGGGTACGACCTTGCCCTAAGTCAAGAGTTCACCCATCTTTTTGTAGACCCTTCTGAAGAGGTTTGGGGAGGTTCTCAGCTGAACTGAGGGGTGGAAGGTTTTGATGCCATCTGCTGGTGGTGTGAGGATATCGTCCAAAGCCTCAAGCCTTAAAGATAAAAGGGTGGCTTATTGGCTGAGGAGGAAGGATTCCCAGGCTTGGCCTGGATCTGGAGGATGGTGAGTGGAGACGATCGGGAGAATTCCTGTTAGAACCTTGGTGGACCCCCATGAGAAGATGGGGGTCCACAGGAAAGAAAAGGGCTGCTCCGCAGGGACAAGGACGTGGCTGCCGCGAGCATTCCACACCTGGGGCTCCTTCCCTGGCCCTTGGGGTATAGAGAGGCGTCCTCATCTCCACCTTGAATTCCCACCACAGCCCCTCCTGGTTGCAAGTATTTGATAATGATGTTTCTTGAGGGCACACCTGCCCGGGCATGCAAGACTGGGGCTGCATTGCCTACTGTGTATGGCCTGATCTGAGACACTAAATAGGGTCTCTGAGCCAAGCCCACAGGAGGATCCTTCCAAGAGAGATTACAGGAACTCGTGAGCAGCAACTGTGCCGTTCACTCCTTTGTTTCCCACGGTATCTAGTCCGCTTAGTAAGAACTTGAAGTAAATTGAGAGAGCAGGCATAATCTGGGAGCCTTAGGAAGGCAGCTATTTTGTGCCTGATGTCAAGGTCAGGGCTAGGGGCTTCAGAGGCCTTCCTGAACTTTGGTGCAAGGAATGGGGCCAAGAAGGACAAAGTTCTGGGCCCCTTGCTGGGGATCTGAGAGGATCTGTAGGCATGCAGAAACTGAACAGTGAGATAGACCCTCCCGAGAGCTCTCAGATGGGGGTGCTTTGCCTTGCACCTCTTGTCTCCCAGTTCTGTGGTGCCCAGACAGCTCCGGCCTGATGTTGACACTATTTGAAATGCTCCACAGCTTATGTCCCGTACTTTCTTCAGTCTATTGACATTTCTATTAGAGTCTCTGGGCCCAAAACAGCCATTTGATGATGCCACTCCACTCTGGTTTAAAAACAAGTTTTCAGTGTTTCCCCAGTGCCCTTGGGATGAACTCCAGATTCCCAACACGGTCTATGGCTCCTGCTTGTCTTTTCCTGTGTCATCTCATCTCTTGCCCATTTGTGCCTCTACTTCAGATACAGGGAACTTATCTCCTCCTCACATTGACCAAGCTTGAGCCACCTGACATAGTTCTGGCTGCCTGAAATACTCCCCTGCCGCCCACTCTTCCCTTTGCCTACCCAACTCTTGCCCTTCAAGTGCCATCTCCGTCATCACTTGTGCAAAGCCTACCTTGATTACTCAGATCTTGGCTGAGCTGCTTCTGCAAGCTCCCAGGCTTACTCCCCATCCCTGTTCAGATCCCATCACCTACTGGAACTGCCTGGTTACTGTTTGCCTGCCCACTAGACCGCCAAGAAGTCAGGCTATGCTGCCTTAGCCCCACCGTGGAGACTTCCCACGGAGTCCCCAGTCTGTTAGCACCATGCCTGGCAAGTAAGAGCTGCTCTGCAGATATTTGTAATGTCCATGGGTGGATCTGGAAATAACAAGCTAGCTGACCGAGTCCGGTTTTTATGATGTTACAGTCTCCACTGCTGTCGTCAGTGACCCAATGACAATAGCAGTTTCCCCATCACTGCCAAAAATTGCCCTTGGGTCACATGACTGCACTGATGCTGCAATTTTGAGCTGCTTTGTTCCACTTTATGTCAACTACAAGGACAGCACCTTGGCTGATCGATTTTCCTTTTAGCCTTAAGTATGGCCGTAAGCTGACCAAAACACAAGAGAATCAGATGCAAAGGCCAGGGGACCAAGCACACCCTAGTTCTGGGATGAGCCTCTTCCAGATGTCCAATCCTGGATCCAGGCAGACATTGAGGTGTCATCAAGGGCTCCAGCAGCCTCAAACTGTTGTGGCTGCTCCAACTGGAATACCTCTCACAAAAGCCACCTCACTGAAGCAAAACCTCCCTTGACTATCCATCGCCTGGTAAAAGCTGGAGTGTGGTCTTGCCACAGACAAAGCAATTGCTGCCCCCTAGTGGCTTGAGGGGACAGGCAGTGTTGGGGAGGTGACTATGGTACTTGCCCAAGGAAGGAAAGTCAGAGGACAGCACCTCGCGCCTGCTTTTCCCCTTTTTATTAAAAATAAACCCAAACACTTTATGTATCATACAAAAGTTTCGTTCGCTGGTGGCAGCCACGAGGAAGCCCGGCCCTCGTGGCACTGATTTCCCACCTTCCCTCCAAGGGACTGAATCCCAGAGAGCAGTGACCGGGCCTCGGGGAGTGCCCATCCAGACTGCTCCATCCGGAAACAGCCAGCTGGGGGTGGGGGCTGTTCCGGGGGCAGCTTTCCCCACCCCCCACAGTGGCCAAGGTTAGATACTGGAAAGTGCCTCTTTAGTGCCAAGATAAACAAGTGGAGTGAAATGGAAACCCCTGTGATTCTTTAATTTCCCAGGGCCTGGGATTTGGGGTTTTGTTTTTTGTTGTTTTTTTTTTCCCTTCCACCCCTAGAATCCTACTAATGTGGTGGGATACTTCAGAGACTGGTGTTTCCCTTTGAGGCCAAAGTTTCAGCCCGACCTAAGCCTTTTCTCTGCTCTTAACATGGCCCAGAATATGCCAGCCCCCCCGACACAAGCTTTGTCCTGTGTTCACTCGAAAAGGATCGAAAACTGACTCCTCCCACGGTCCTCTGCCTGAGTGCATGCCCTGCCGTCGCCTCTGTTCACGGGACCCGAGGGCCGGGAGGACCCACAACCATTCCTCCCAGTTCTGCCTCTCCCTGACTGCTGCCCACTCCTGAGCTTTGAACACCCCTGGGGTACCCCAGACCCCTGTGCCAAAGAGGCCTGGGAATGATGAGGTGGAGGCGGAAGGGGTTGGTGGGAGCCAGGTTCCCCCAGGGGTGGGGCAGTACTCATGCTGGTATGGGCTCTTGGCGGGGCCAGGGGCCAGGGGTGGGAGGGTGGGGCATGCGGAGGAAGGGCACTGCCTGCCTGAGCCCCTCAGTCCCAGCCGTTGTCCTTCACCATGTGTGACATTTCAATAATGTACTTTCCCTCCTTGTACTTCTGGCTCGTCTCAAAGGCTTGCTCCTGGTGGAAAGGAAGCAGTGAATGGGGACCAAGCAGTCCCCCCAAAGCCTTCCTACCTCCTGTATTGCCCCTTCCCCCAAAGTCCCCCCACATCCAGTCCACCCCAGTTGCAGTGGGGCTTGGAGGGCCATGGAGACTGTCCACTTTGGAGCATGCCTTTCCCCTGGTACTTACATATTTCCAGCCCAGTGTGGTTTTGCAGCTCTCACAGAAAATGTCAGCTACCGAGTGAAGCCCCGTAAGCAGAAGGCGCTGTTCCGCTGGCCCACAGCCCACGTTGACCCTGTCTCAGGAAACAAAGGACCCAGCACCCGGTGGGGTCACTGTTAGTCCAGCTCCCAAACAGCCCAAAGGAACTTCCAGCTGGAGAACTGTACCCACTTAACGAACGGGAGCCTCTGGCTTCAGCAACCCACCCCTTTACGACTAGTGCCTGGGCCTTCTTCCTCCAGACTGGAATTCCATTTCTGCCCAGACTCCCAAGAGAACTGCAGTCTGAGTTTCTGAAACCCTTTGCAAGAGAGGAGGCAACGCGGAGGTGCGAGGCCACTTTCCGAGGGCTCGCCCTCATTCTCCACAGAGGAAGATTATGCACACACGCAAGCACACTCACGCAAGAAGAGAGGTGGACTCACACGGAGTTAAACAGGTAGGCTCGGCCATGGCTCCCTTGGAAGGACTGCGGAGACACAGGACAGACAGTGACTACTGGGTGGCCCTTGCCCCCACTGCCTGAATCCCCAGGGCGTGGAGGAGGGAGGGCAGGCAGCCTTTGCCTCACCCCAGGTGAGCTCAAGCCTGGAGGAGGGGAGGAGGGGAGTGGTAGGCCCCCACGTGGCGTACCTTGGAAATAAGCTCGTCGTGTTTGGCCAAGTGAGCACGGCAGTGGACGCAGCTGTAGGTGCGGTGGCAGCGAGGCAGGTAGCTACGGAACGTCTTGGTGGGGAGGCAGGCGGGGCCAGGGCCGGGGTCACAGCTGGGCATGACGGGCTGGAGGACGATGCCCTGGCGGGCTGGAGGGGCTGGCGCGGTACAGCCCCCACACAGGCGGTCGCAGGTGAAGCAGCGGAGCAGGTTGGCTAGAGCCGTGTTTCAGGGCAGGAGAAATGTGGGGGGGCTGCCCGGCCAGGGCCCCCCCAAACGTGAACCAGGTAGAAATGGAAGTCACCTGGGAAGAAGAGAAGGTGCGTTAGGAGAGCCGTGATCTCGTGCGGAGTCCCTCCTGAGGGAATGGAGAACACGGGGCTCAACTGTCCCGGGTCCTCCGTCACCATCGACTCGGCATTCAGGCGCTCGGAGCATCCCTGTCCACGGGTCCCCATAGTCTCTGGCAGGCCTGGAAGCAGCTCCAGGCCTCCGGTGCCCTAGCTGGGGAGGCGGTCTCTCCTCCCTACCCCCGGGGCGGGAGCAGCCTCCCCCATTTCCACGGGGAGCAGCCTGCTGGCTCCCTGCTGCCATGGGAGCAATGTCACGTGCCAGCGCTCTCCTTGATTTCGGTGCTTCAGTGAGGACCTGCCTCCCACAGGCTCCGATAGGTGCTAAGGCTCAACGCCTTTTAAAAGCTGGGGATGCCTGGCAGTTTTTCTGTTTCATCGCCTCTATTTACAGCACTTGGTCCTTCAAACAGTTCGTGTGGCAGGAGGGGAAGATGAGACGGGAGGAGGGAGAGCAAGCAGCCAGGCGCACACACCCCGCTTCAGCGCTTTCCCGCAGCCGGGGGCCCGTTCCCTAGGGACTAGAACTTCACGGGTGTCTCCTTCTGTACCAAGATCGATCCTGCCCCTTGGCCCACTTGTTTTGGCACAGAAACAGTCCCTGGCTGTCTTCTCAGCCTCGGAGCCCCTTGGTCTCTTCCTGCTGCTCTTTGCTGTTGCCTTAGCCCTCAGTCAAGGACTTGGGCCCCGGGCTGCAGGGGAGAAACGCTCCCTCAGGCAGATCTGACAGCTGGAATCAATGGGGAAAGGGGCCCGCAGTAGGGAAGGCAGAGCTCCTGGGCCGAGCAGGGCTGAGTGGTGTAGTGTGGGGGCAACGTCCTCAATGGGCAGCAAAAGGGGGACTTGCATTTTCAAAACCTGTGCTTTGGGGCAGAAGGCAGAGAATGTTTCCATCTCTCCCAGGGGCAGGGACACACAGCAGTGCCCCTGTGGGTGACAGAAGATAAAATAATCGCTGGATTCTGACCAGGAGTCTTGAGGAAGATGTTGACATCTGTCCCAACTCCAGCCCCCAAGTGGCCGAGGGTGCTGGAGGCAGAGGATAAGAAGGGAGGTGTCCTCGGTTGGCCCTGATAAGCAGGTGAAGTGCTGCCCTCTCCTTCGTGGGGCCTTGAGGTCTGTTGTGGGTGGTTAGCCCGTCTGGTTCAGAGGTGCCAGCTGGGTGCTCTGGCAATGACAGGCCGAGAAGCAGAGCAGGGCTAACAGGCTGTCATCCTGTCCTCTGTGGTGGCCGCTAGTGCCCCAGCTGTTCCAGTCCTTACTGGGGCCGCTGGGCCGTCTCTCCGCAAACCTCCCGACAGAGACCAGTTTCAGTCTGGGGTCCTGCCCTCCTGGCTGGGCCCCAGAGAGACACCTTGGGCTGAGTTCAGGGTGACATTGGGCTCTGGCCACAGGAAATGGGCCCTCCTCACCGGCACGACACTCGTCGGCGTCCACTTCACAGGTCTGCCTCCAACTTTGCCTGCTGTGCCCCTCGGCCGCTCCGCCTGGAACACCTTCTTCAAGGGCTCAGAGGGGCTGCTGGGCCAGGCTCCGGCTCGGCCCCCTTCCCAACCTCCGGCACGCCTCTCGCCCTCTCTCGCCCTCTCTCGCCCTCTCTCTCCCTGCTTCCCCATCAAGCCAAGCAGAGGCTGCACAGAAGGCCAGAGAATCACTCACGGGAGGGGGAATAGGGGTCATTTCTTCACCTCAGATTACGGGGAGAAGCAAGTTGGGCAAATGATGGGAAAAAACAAAGGCAAGCTGAGTACTGGGGAAAGGATGTTCCCCAAGTGAGCCAGGGCTGGACCGTGGGAGGCAGGGGAGAGGGAGGGTTGGGGGGGGGGGCGGTGCTGAGCAACCATCACTGACAGCAGAGGCCCCAAGGCAGAGGCTCCAGGAACCAGGTGCGAATTCCATGCCTCTCAGGGGGGAAAAAACGGGAGGGGGCCACCTGCTCACAATGGATTTTCTCATCTGCTCTGAGGCTTCGGCCCCCTCTGGGTTGGCATTCTCGGCATGGTATGGTCCAAAATCGTTAGCAGCGCAGCCAGCTCCCAGGGCGGGCTTTGGGGGGTCTGCACCAGCAGCAAAACAATAAACAGTGATGCCTGATGCTGCAGCCAAAGTTACCGGGAAATAAGTGTGGGGAACCATCAGAGCTTGGAGAGGGATGGAGGAGCTGAGAGAGGAGCGGAGGCAGCGGGGAGGGGGAAGGGAGGACAAAGGGTGGATGAATAATGCTTTTTGCAAAGGGGAGAAAGCAACCCGCAGCAGGAGGAGGAAATTTGCAAAGGGGAAAAATTCGTTTGGAGAAGGGCTGCCCCCTCACCTTGAGGTCTGCTCCAGAGATCTCCGGCTATCTCTCTCTCTCTCTCTCTCTCAATCTGTCTGCTCACTCTTCTCTCTTCTCTTTCCGCTCCTTCAACGGGGAAGGGGATGGGGACGGGGTAGGGGAGTTAGGGGCTCAGGACTGAGGTTGCAAAGCTGGCCAGCTGCTTGGGGGCCAGAGGTTGTCTCTCGTCTGTACCTCGGTCTGTGGGTGAATGTAGCTGTGTGTTGTGGAACTGCATCATAACACTGTGAGTCATCCATCCCCCCACCCCCTCACCTCCCACGTCAGAGCAGGGCTGGGAGACACAGGAGGCGGGTTGGGAGGGAGGGAGGGGGCAGGCATCGAGGGATGGGGCTGGGGGAATAAGGCTAGGGTGGGGACCTAGGGGCAGGACCGGGAGGATCGCAAAAGAGGAAAGGCTAGTAGCTGAGAAGGAAGGCAGTGTGGCTAAGGAGATGGAACCTGAGGTGAGGACAGGGCTGGGCAAGGATGGAGTACGAGTGAGGGCTGGAGGAAAGGAGGTGGCAAGGTGGGGGTCGGTGAGATGGATGCAGAGCATCAGGTATGTGCACACCCATTCAAGATAACAGTTCCCATTTCAGCTCTGACCCCAGCCTGATGGAGAGAAAAGAAAGACATAGTAATGGTCACGTAGGGCAAATTGTGTCCCCAAGCTCATGCCAGTCGCTTCTATGCCTCAAAGCCTCAGCTTAATACCCCTGAAGGTGTCATAGACCAAATATGACATCTCACATGCAGGAGCCTCTTATCAACTACCTCCAACTTCCTTGTGCTTTGTGAATGGAGAGACATCCACATTATATAATGTTCTCTTTTGGGCAGCAAACTTTCTGAGGCAGGTCCTCTGGCCAACTTCTCTGCATCCCAGGGCTGCAGTGCCTAGCACAGAGCCGATGCTCCCAAATCAGCAAATGAGTTGCATCTTTACACAAGTGTCTGGCTTTGGTCTCAGAGATCCGAGTTGGCAACCCAGATCTGCCAATACACTTGCCAGCAACCACTGGGCAAGTTACTGATGCTCTTCGTGCCCCCTTTCCCCTCACTAGCTAAATGAAGCTAACAATATTTACCCCGTGGAGATGTGAAGTAAAGTGTTCTCCACTTAATATCCTGAAACCCCAAAGGATTTACTATTAAAAATTCTGATAGCTCAAGAGACATGTGCCAAGTTTGTGTCTTATTAAGAACTTGTATCTTTCTTTCAAATTCCAGTTATATTTCATTTGACTCAGAATATTTCTCATGGGGTGCTGCCCTGTGCACCTCACTAAAGTATGTGGTCACAGAACACATCCTCTAAGATGGAAAAAAAAAGCCAGTTTCTACCAGGCTAACATGCAGAACATGACGTGTGATAAAGGTAGGGGCTTACAGAAAGGGCTGCTTGTGGGGAGCTGTTTTTCTTTTCCTATGGAAGGAGGGGACAGAGTTAAGGTAGGGAAATATAGTGGGAGGCATTGCTAGCTGGGTATGAAGAAAGGAATTCTGGATATTTAATCAAAAGATTCTGGAGTTTCAGGTAAATTCTGAAAGCACAATGTGGGTATCTCAAGTGATAGTACCACAGGTTGTCGTTGAGAGGGAGAACTCAGTAGAGAAAGAAGAAGAAGCCCTGGCTGTTGTGGCTCAGTGGACTGAGCACCTGCCTGTGAACCAAAGGGTGAGTGAGCAGTTTGATTCTCAGTCAGGGCACATGCCTGGGTTGCAGGCCAGGTCCCCAGTTGGGGGCGTGCGAGAGGCAACCACACGTTGATAGTTTTCCTCTCTTTCTCCTTCACTTCCCCTCTCTCTAAAAATAAATAAATACATAAAAAGAAAGAAGAGGGAAGTATTCTTGTCTGGGCAGCTGATGAGAAAAGGAAATGGAAGTGCAGGAGGAATACAAGGAACCATTTTTCTTTCTTCCTTTTTTTTGAAGAAAACAGTGGGATGTGGGGAAAAAAGAAGGTGAGTAGTTTTGGGGCAAGGATTAAGAGTTTGGAAGCAAAAAAGGGGTATCAAATATACTCAGGTAGATAATGACCAAGGATTTGGCTGGAGAGGAGACCGAAAAAGACTCCTGAGGACAGTGTTATTTGGGGGTGGGGTGGAGATGACTAGAGGGCTCGATGAAAGTGAGAAAGGGGCGTGTAGGCAAGCACTGATGCTTGACATATTGTGCTCTGACTCCCCGAGTGTGAGAAGCAGAATAGAGAGCAGCCTAAAGGGGGTGGGGTGGGTTGTCCCTAAATTCAGCTTTGGATAGCGATACAGTATCCAAATAAAGATGACCTTCAGATAATTGGAAGACATTGCCTCTAGGGAAAGTGAGTGGAGGCAAAGAAATTCATCTTGAAGTAGCATGCATGGAAACAGGAGAGGATGAGCTCACTTGGGGAGAAATTTTGCGAATGGAAGACCGGAATCCAATATTTGAAGAATGGTGAAAGATTAGGGGCTACCTAATAGCTGACTGAAGAGCTAATACATGCATGGTGAATGAATGAAATAATTAAAGCAAACCATCAAAGAAAGAAACTGAAAAGTGAGGAGTGAGAATGGCATTCTTAGAAAGTGGGTGCTCAGGTAGGGCCAGTGGGGGAAAAAGGCAACCCAGAAAAATCTCCCCGGGTTTCTCAGTCTGGATTAACCATGTGAGCGGGACTGAAAAAAGTACTCATCTGTAAAATGAGGATGACAGTGGCAGTGTGTACTTCACAGGATTCTTGTGAGGATTAAGTGACTCGACACCTGTGAAGCCCAGAGGACAGCACCTGGCACTACAAACGTGGTTGCTGTTATTATAACTGGACTCAGACTCCAAAATCCTGGGTCTGAGTCCTAGCTGGGGCTACTTCCTTCACCCATCTCTCCTCCCTCATCTGGAGCTAATAAAACTGACTTGACTGGGTGGCTGTGAAAGAAGGTACCTGAAAGGGCTTTGAAAAAATGTAAGGCACTGTAAAAATGAAGGGCATTGTCATAGCTTCTCCTCCTCAAACTGTAATAAAAACTTGAAAGCTAACATCAGATGCTTTCTATGAATTACAGGCATTGTGCTTAGTACTTTATGTGTATCATCCCATTCAATCTTCAAAACGGCTTTAAGACGTCAGGTACTGTTATTATCCCTATTTTACAGACAAGAAACTGGGTCTCAGGGGGTGTAAGCCTGTCATTTGTCCAAATTCACACAGTGAGCCAGTGGCACAGCGAAGAATACAAGAGTCCAAAGCACAAGTTCGCGACGAGAGGCTTCTAGTCGTGGCTCAACCTGTTGCCTGCAGGGTCAATGATTGGTTTTGTGTAACTGCCAGGGATTGTGGGAAGGAGCAAGTCCTCAACAACACTCCCTGCTCGGTAAGAGAGAGGTCATTGGGTAATGACCGACTGACTTATAGAACGCCTGGAAGAACTTCTTGAATTTCTATTCTTTTTTGTATTTATTTATTTACTTGCTTACTTTCTTACTTATTTATTTTTGCCCTGGCCGTCGTAGCTCAGTTGTTTAGAGCATTGTCCCCATAGTCAAGGTTGTGGTTCACTCTCTGGTCAGGGAACATACATGCATCAACCAGTGAATGCATAAATAAGTGGAACAAGAAATAGCTGTTTCTCTTTCTCTATATAAAATCAATAAATTCATAAAAAAACTTTTTTTTTTTTAGCCCTGGCTGGTATGGCTCAGTGGATTGAGCGCTGGCCTGAGAACCGAAGGGTCACCAGTTCAATTCCCAGTTGGGGGTGTATACCTAGGTTGGTCCAGGTCCCCAGTTCAGGGCACGTGAGAGGCAACCGACTGATGTATCTCTCACACATTGATGTTTCTTTCTCTTTCTCCCTCCCTTCCCCTCTTTCTAAAAATAAACACATAAAATCTTAAAAAAAAAAACCAAAAAACTTTTTTTAACATCCTCTAGGTGCCAAGCACTGGTCAGGTAGGGGATGACAGTCAAGGTGGGCCTCTGAGAGGCTGTCAACTTTCCCTGCCACTAGGTTTCCTGTCTACAAAGAATTTGCTGCCCTGGCTGGTGTGGCTCAGTGGACTGAGCACCTGCCCTGAACCAAAAGGTCGGCTCCATTCCCAGTCAGGGCACACGCCTGGCTTGCAGGCCAGGTCCCCAGTAGGAAGCACACAGAGGCAGCTAATCGAAGTTTCTCTCACACATTGATATTTTTCTCCCTCCCTAAAAAAATAAATATTTAAAAAGGTGTTTGCTAATTTCCTCACTTCCTGGCTTGTGGTCCAGGCAAGCAGGTTATCGTGGGTACTAGCTAGGGAGTCTCCAACCCTTCCTGCCGCCCTTCCCCTGCCAGGGTAACAGGTGAACTGAACGGGGTGGGCAGTCCGTAACCGCCGCCTGGCAACCCTTGGTCCCTGGAGCCTCCCCGCCCGGAGCCCGGGGCGTAACCTCCACGCCCACTGAGGAACGGGTACGGTTGGCGAACGTAGATCACCGTCACCCCGCCCACTTTTGGCGTCACAATCAAAACAATCCTTTAACTACAACTCCCAGAAGGCGCAGCGGCTGCGCGAGCTCAACTGCTCACGGCTGTTCTCTCACAACTACACATCCCAAGGGGTATCGCGCGAGCACCGCTTCTCTACTGCGCAAGTGCGGAACCTCGCGTGTTTCCGGCGTGGGTCCGGACCCCAGTGGCTGCAGTTGGCTTTGGGTCCTGCCTGGCGGGGCTTTTCGGTTTACCACTTGGAGGTTTGGGCTGTGCAGGTGAGGTAATGAGCTCAAAAAAGCAACTGTCGTCTCCTTGGGACTTGGGAGGATTTCGTGTCTAGGTTTGCTGGGTCAAAGGCCACGCCTAAAGCTGCTGTCTTTTATAGGAAAAAACTTAATTATTTTTTGGCGCTTTCTAGTTTACGAAGTGATGTTTTCCTCTAACAGTCCCTTCTAATCCCCATATCAACACTTTGTGTGAGGAAGTGTGAGTGCCTCCTGATGACATCTGAGGGAAAGGTTCAGAGAGGTTAAGTGATTCGCCTAAGGACAATATTTGTCGTTGCTGAGCGGGGCCTTGAAATGTTTTCTAAGTCCAAACCAAGTTTTCTCTGTTTTGTATCGAATTGCAGACGCCCTTTCTTGTTAACTAAGAGGGTAGAGGAGAGGGCGTTTTTTGTCTTCTCAAGTCTAGAGTATTCCAATAGAGTGAAGAAGGGAGCAATGAGATGATGTAATC